ATATATATATATATATATATATATATATATATATATATATATATATATAAGATTTTTACAACCCCTGGTAAGCCCCAATTATGGGAGGAAGCTAACTGCTTCCATCATCTGTCAATCGGCTATAGAATCATATCACAAGAAAATAAGATCTACTGTGGCTTTCAATTACATGTCAGTTCTGTAAACTTTATAAATATTTAACTGTATTTTGATTTTTATTACTTGTCTGTATCAAATTATCTTTGTAGATTTGTTGGCCCAGAATTTTTTACATAATGTTTAAGCAGAGATGATCATGTGAAAGAGACAATTAACATTGTTATATTTTTTAAATTTCATGATGACCTAAAAATTAGATTAATATTATATTAGCTAAGTCTCTTTTTCAAACATTCCAGAAGGGACTTTTGTTTGTTTTGGTTAAAGTGGTTTCTTACAAGGCATGTTAGAAATAGCACACATAGAACAGATTATTTTTATTGATTCAAAGTTATTAGTTAAATTTAACATACATTGTCCAATATACAGCAATTTACCCTGAATTTTATTTAATGTATCATGGGTTATTGATAACTAATTCTTCTATTAGTCTCCCTCTCATTATCACACATAACCATAGTACAATGAAAGATGTTTATATACTCATAGTTGTTTATTCATCTTGACATGCCATATATACCATGTTATTATTTCCATATTGTAAACAGCTATATAACCAAAACACTGGACATAATATGTTACTTGTCTTGCATATTTAAAAATATAATTGTAATCTACACCTTATGATCCAGACTGGTAAATTGATAAATTAGTAAAATAAAATTGATATTTTATACATTAATCTGCCTGTAATGAGAAACCTGAGGAGCTGAAATTGATGAAATTAATTTTAACTCACATCATTTCTGTCAGAAGACCACATACTGTTTGGTTCACCTGTGTGTTAAAAGTTTCCTGTAATACCTCCCATCATATATTTATTGCATTTAGAATGAAGCCTGTTTTATCTAGAAAGAAAGAAAAAAGCATTTCTTGACATTCTTCTTAAAACTCAGGATTTTCTTCATATTCTTTCTTAATTAATGATTTTTTGTTCCATAATAGTGTTATTTTAAAACATTTGATGTGTTCATAATCATTTGAGAGTAGTAAGCACTAAAGAGGACAAATCATGTCTCATAAGGGATTGATCAAGAATTTTATGACCTTGTTTTATTTTTTGTTCATGTTTTGTTTGTTTGTCAGTACATATTTTAGTAGTGTTTTACTACATAGCTTTCATGTGCTTTCTTCAGGACACTAAGAAACCCAATTCGATTATGCAGTTTAGGGGATGCTGCATGGATAGCCTTGGTATTACTCTATAAGATGATTTTCTGAATCTCTATTTATTACCTTCTAGGGAGGACCTGATCTGTTCAGCTGTGAATTTATATATTTAGTTTATTGCTATTAAATATATTGACATCATAGTTATAATTTAATTGCATTGTTATATATTTCAAAATATCACTTGTTATATTATGATAGATTGATTCATAATCTGATTCAAACATAATACTGTATATTGTGAGGATTTCTCCACAAATAGCAAGGTTTAATATTTGACTTAAGTATTATTGTAATCTACTTTAATTAAGTCAAACAATCGTCTATGATTTACTTTGCCTCTTGAAAATGTCATAAAAGTAACAAGTGAATTATATTTATTAATTTGACATACATGAGAAGAAAATTCAGCCAACTATCAAACATTGCTGAAAAAAATCAATGAATGTTTAAAACAAGTGTAATATGTAGCATATCTAAGGATACCCTTGATATTTGCTCAAATTAAAAACTGAAAAATTAACTTAATTTTATAGTGTGTATTTAAAGTGCACATTGCATTTGACAATTTCAAAACAGACTTTTTCTGTATTGTGCTAAGGCTGAAATTAATTGATTTCCATAATATTCTTGTTAAAAATATTTTTCTATATTGTTCCATCTATAAAGTGAATGTGTATTAGCACTTAGCTGACAATAAAATTTGGAAACTAATTATAGCACCTAGATTTGATAACAATTAGAATAATGATGTTGCAAAAATAATAACATCTGAAGGACAGTGAAGAAGATACATTCATGCGAGTATACAAGGAGTGCTTATTTAGTATTGCAGAGGCAAAACTGGCCTACAGGAATGTGTGTGTGTGTGTGTGTGTGTGTGTGTGTGTGTGTGCATCTCACAGGCAAAGTGGATAATAAAAATATCTGGTTATGGCTAAAGCAGAAACAGAGGAGCTAATTCTGGATGAACAACACCAAATCTTAAAAACAAAAGCATAGAATTGACAACAACAGACAGTAAGGTGCCACCTCTACAAAGAAGCTGAACGACCAGGAGACCACTTGGTTAATACTTGGCCACAAGAACTCACAGACTGGCCACAAGATCACACAGACTGATTACAGACAACAGCATGAGAAAGTAGCAACAATTGGAATTGTATGGAAGATCTGCAAGAAACACCATTTTCCTGCAAGCAAGAACTGTTGGACTATAAAAATAGAGAAAATCATAGAACATGAAGAAGCTAAATTGCTTTTTAGAATTTAAACAGATAGGCATCTGCCACATTCTCCAGACTTAACAACTGTTGATAAGAAAGACAAAAAATAGTCTGGATAATGGATATGGCCAGAATCTGGAGACAGCAGAATAGAAGAGAAAAAAACTGGAAAATAAAAAATATAAAGATCTGCCAATAGAATCACAATAGAAGGACCAGTATATAAGTACTATTTCTTCAACATTCTTGCAACTTAGAATGGTTTCCAAACAAATGGTCATTAACCAAGAACTACATGTATTAGTTTTTGCTAATTTTTGTTTGGCCCAAACACTAACCCATAAAATATCTTAATTTTTTAACATAGCAATGTATGGTTTGCAACTGATCCGCTGATCACAAGCTTGCCTATAAATATGTTTCTTCATTGGTGGAATTGTTATTAAAAGCAGTTGCAGTGTTGTTTAAAGGACTAAATCTATTTTGAATTATAACATTTATTATAGGATTTATATTCACCTGTAAGATAATATATAAAGTTGACCTCTTTCCTTCTCTTAAAAAGGTTTATATTTGTGTTCTCTTGTGACATAACGTAGCTGAAAAAGATCTAAGAGGACTGTTTCTTTTATTTTAGCAACAAGAACAAGACCCCACAAATCTTTACATCTCAAACTTGCCCATGTCCATGGATGAGCAAGAGTTGGAGAATATGCTTAAACCTTTCGGACATGTCATTTCCACCAGAATATTAAGAGATGCAAATGGCATCAGTAGAGGAGTTGGATTTGCCAGGTAAAAAGCTGATTTTTTATTAGCGTACTGGAATTTATTTACTTTTCTCTTTAGATTTATTTATTTTTGCATAGCAAGACTATATTTGCTATTGTTGAAAGGGTTTGCAGTCATATAACATGCAAAATAATTCAAGTAACTAAAAGAAATTTATCTAAATGTATGGGTACATCTTTTCCAGAAAATTGAAAAATCACTTCTTGAGAATAAAGTTTATTTTATTTAGTCAAATAATAGTAAAATAACTGGGTGTAATTAAATAGCAATTTAGTTTCAACATGAAGAGAAATAAATGTCATTCTTTCTGAAAATGTGTATATGATTATGCTAGCTATTTCTTAATTTAAGATTGAAAAAAGTAGATAGGAAAAATGAATGTAAAATATAATGAATAAGTAATTCAATAAAACTTATAAATTTTGCCAATTGAAATGGGGTTTTCCAGGATCATAGTTGTCAGCCATTCAGTCGTGCTTGGCCTTTGACCATGCTATGGATCAGCACTCTCCATGCCCCTCTGTCTCACACCACCTCATTCAGATCCACCATGGTCATACCAGTGTTATCTTTTATAGCACCTAGCCAATGGGTGCTAGGTGGCCTCTTTTCCTTTTTTCACAGATCACTCCCAGCTTGACTGATTATTATTTTTTAATGAATCCATTTTCATGACATGACCAAAGTATGACAGTCTCTATTTGGCAATCTTGGCTTCAAGTGATATTTTGGGTGAGGTTCATTCTAGGACTTCTTTGTTATTTTTGCAGACCACGGTATACATGATAGTTACTTCCAGCATCACAGTTCGAAGGCATCCACCCTTCTCCTATCTGCCTTTTTCACAATCCAAGTTTCACAGCCATTAATAGCAATTGGAAAAATTATTGTGTTAACTAATCTACATTTGGTTGTGAGGCCGATGTCTTTACTCTTCCAGAAGTTATTCATGCCAGACATTGCACTTCTTCCAAGTGCTATATGCACTTCTGATCTCAGAGTTACATTCACAATTTCAGTCAATTTTCGAGGATTTCCTCTACATTTCCAGGGTACAAAATTTTTTAAGATATAAAAAAATAATTAGGGGTAACACTCACAATTGTAACAATCTGAGTGGCAGTTGTATATTTTGTGGGTTAGAAGTGTTATATGCTGACATTCCCAATACATCTTTTAAGTAAACCCTGGGGAATGCAACTAAATTTAATGCAAAATAAATAAGAGTGAGATATATCACAATTAAAGCACATTAGGAATAAAACATATATAAAATCAGCTTTGAAAATCATGGCATATTAGCTTCCTTTCTTTTTGTTGGTATCCTTTCTTCAAAGTTGGCATTCAGAGGCAATATCAAGATTCATAAAAAATCTATTTTAAAATTAGTAAAGATGAGATAGTCTGGTTTTAAAAAATGTTCTGTACAACTTAGTACGACAGCATTAGATTAGGTAAATTGTAATGAATAAATACATCCAGCTTCTCTCCAATCATTTGCTAGTTCTTCCTTCTAAATTTGTTACATATGGAACTCAGTTTATTATTCCACACATATGTGTTAGTTTTCCTTACAACATTTCTGAAATGTTCCACAATTTTCTTTAGTTTTGATTCAGGTAAATTTAGATTTAATTTTATGATTTTTGCAACTATCTTGAGATTCAAGAATAATTCTGAAAAGAAGAAATAAGAATCAATTGAAAATCAACATCAAAAGCGCTACCAGTCAGACATTTTGTTTGTATGAATTCTGCCTTTACCTTCGTTACAAAATAAAAATCACGCTGGATTTAAAAAATATTTTTTTAAAAACACCACATGGTAAGAAATATTTGATGTGGAGGGAAAGTTGACAGCTAATTCATTCATCTGTTTGTATGAAGCAGAATATTTACTTCTTTATGGGTAATGTGAGCTTCCCCTATGCTAATAAGGTGGCATAAGTTAATAGGCAATGCAACTTCATCTTTCTTCCTTGATATAAAACAAACAAACAGAAAATGTTGAGATAACATTGTCTGCATTCAAATAAATGAAGGATGAAGTGCTCTTCTTCTTTTTATACAATTTAAGTTGCCTTACTAAAAATTTGCTAGCGAGAGATCTGGATCTAGAACATTAACTTGCATTTGGAAGCCAGGTTTTTCAACTGAAATCCATTTAACAGAATCTGGAGAAGAAAGATGATGACATATTATAATTTTCATAGAGAGTTTTTCTGTATTCACATTAAGATTGAGGGCAAGCAATGCTGGAGATTTTTCTTCAAGATGTCTTTTTACACTGTATAATATAACTATGTATCACATTCCAATGGATATACTGTTTTTCTTCAGAGAGGAACTAGCTTTATCAGTCAAATAGTTATGATAATTTTCCTTCTGTTTGTAGCAACAAAAAGAACAAAAGCCTCATTCAAATCTTCAAAAATCACAATGTTGACTATATGAACATTTCAGTTATAATTGCATGTCACCAACGTAATTCAAATAGCAAAAGATTCCTTGTTCCCCAGGTGTGTGTTGTGTATGATTATCTGCAAGAAAAGAAGATTTAACTCTGTAGTACAGTTGAATACATGCTTGTCTGCAAAAGTCAAAAGTAAAGAATTGATTTTTTTTTCTTTTCCTCATGTCATATATCTTAAATTAACCTCCACAAAGGCATTTTTTAGTAAACTCATATGGAAAACAGAAGAAAATGAAGGGAAATTCTGGCAATCATGCATTCACCAATTTTATTGCTACTGGATACACAATTTTACTAGTTATCCTGAAAGAGATACTAAATCAAACATTCTTTATTTTTATGATATCTCTTTACCTGTTCAGAAATAGTAGATTTTAAAAAGATTTGTAAAAAATTTATTGGGAAATTACAATAATAAAAATAATAAAAAAATAATGATAGTACAATAAAAAATTATGTGAATCACACAGTGATTAAAATAAATTTAGGGAAGAAATTATAGAAGACAAAAATAATCTACTGTTACAACATTACTGCTGTTGGATTTACTATTAAATCTTTTTTAAATAGATAATAAATATAAATAAATATATAGAAATATTGATTCTTCTTCATCTTCTTTTTTTTGCATATGGTGACATAACAAAAATTAATAAAGAAAACATATCTTGAATCCATTCTTTAACAACTAAAATAGTGGGTTTCCTTCCTTCCAGTTAGGTCTAGTGTTTAAGGGACAGTCTGGAAAGCAGGAGACAAAACAGCGTACAAGGGGGAGGTTCAAAAACCATGCACGTGGGCAGACGTTGGGGGTGTGGGCTCTCAAGAGCCTCACATGACCCCTGTCTGACAAAGATCCATTTGGATCAGAAACCACCCCCCGGAGGGGCGCAAAGCGGACAGTATCTCATCAGACCCAGGGGGAGGCAACAGAGCCCTCGCAGGTTTGAGATTTGTCTTTTGAATTGGAGTTAGAGTGACAGCCTATAATATGGCTGACATATTATAGNGAAGAAGAAGAAGAAGAAGAAGAAGAAGAAGAAGAAGAAGAAGAAGAAGAAGAAGAAGAAGAAGAAGAAGCACTTCTTCTTACTGATAACTGATAACCTAACTTTGACTGTGCGTGAAGTTTTAATTAACCAACTGCCATAAATCAAAACTTGGAAAGTAGAAGGCAAAGAGGAGTACCCAAATATAACTCATTGCAACTTTATTCTAAGTAATATATTGTGAGCAGCTACAAGAGACTAGACCCTGTCAGGGAAAGAATAATAACAGAATAATAACAGAATCAAAAACTGGGAAATACAAAGGTTTTTTTTGTTTTGTTTTGCTTTCTTCTTCTGCCTCCTTTTTTTCACTTGGCAAAAGATTAAGATGGCCCCAGCTTCTTGAATTTAAGATGGACCAGCATCTATAAATAAGATTTGTATAACTAACTGCAATTTTGGAGCTGGACATTAAGGTAGAATAAAAGACTAAGATGACCCTGTCTTTTTCCCCACAGCAATTGAAGCAGATAAACTTAAAGTGGAACAGAATTCTGAAATAAGAACTGCATAAATGTATAATTAACTATAACTTTGGAACTGGACATCATGAAAAACTGGGAATTTGAAGAACTATGTGAAATTATTAAAAATATGCATAGATCAGTAAAATCAAGCCTAATTAGAATTCTTAATCCAGAGAAGCAGATAGCTAAAAAGAACTCAAAGAAGAAGGGGGGCAAGACATTGAAGGGGTAGAAGTGTAGGGAAATAAAAAGCAGACAAAAAACTGCTTTTGTCCCAGCAGTGGTGTAGGGAAAATTGTGAAAAGGGGAGGTGTCCCGACAAAAGGAGGAAAAAAAGTAGACAAAAGTGGTTTTGGAGGCTGTTAGAGGCATAAAGAAAATTGAAGCAGGACATTATGCCCCAACAAAGAGAAATGTAAAATATTCTTTTGATAGTGACCTGGGGAAATTTGAAGGGAGTGGATATGTCAAAATAAAGAAAAGGGAGAAGATAGGAATAGAGAAGTGAAACAAAAGACTTACTAGGAAAAACAGATAACTAGAAACTACTATATGGGAAAATATACAATTAAGATAGCAATAGCAATAGCAGTTAGACATATACCGCTTCATAGGGCTTTCAGCCCTCTTTAAGCGGTTTACAGAGTCAGCATATTGCCCCCAACAATCTGGGTCAAGATAAGGGCTTTATTCCTAAATATGATAATAAAATGGAGTTGCTAACTGGTTGAATATGATAATAGAAAGATAGCTAAATAAAAATTAAAATATATGGAATATAGATAAATATGAAACTATGGGAAGCTTGTAAAGCAGAGGTTTGTGATTCACCTTTTTAACATGATAATTAAATTGAGTTGCGAATTGAGTGAATATGACAATAGAAGGACAACTAAGCATGGGTCAAAATTTATGAAACATGGACATATATAGAACCTTTTAGATGATGAACAAAGTGAGATGTTTACAGCTTGTTACTTTATATTACATTAAGGGAAGTGTAACGAACACTGAACAGCGAAGATTGTCATCTAGAGATAATTAAGGCTAATCTAATCCAAGATATAGAAAAATGGAGAGGAAACATGGAATNAATGCAATTCAGAAAGCTGAGGTGAAAACAAGTTCCCTTCCTTATCACAGGCATATACTTTATTCTTATATACAGATTACAGATAATTTGAGAATGCACACTTATGTTGAAATGTCTTACAAAACTGATTGATTGTTAGGAAAAAAAGTCATGTAATCAATATTTAAAGGTGCAGATGCAGAAAAAGTGTCACATTTTTGCAATGATTTCTTTGTTAAGTGACCCAAGGCACATTAGAGAGATGTTTAAAATTCTGTGCTGCAAGCATAGTAACTGTAATTGTACTTTATCCATTACATAATATTAAAAATATCAAATTCTC